TTTTCTATATCTAAATAATTTTCGCGGTGAATCATTTTTTTCAGTGATGCAGATTTTGCTGTACGCCAAGAATTTTATATTCTTGCAATAATAACATTATAATAGATAAATCGAAAGAGACGTCGATGGGGTCACGAAGGTGTCTTTCTCGGAAGTTGGTTATATTATATTCCTATATCTCATAGGAAAGGGACGATACAAAGGAAAGCGTGAGAAGTGTCCATGACACTATATCTACGTTCTCGAGAGCCCAAGTGAAAGTTCGTTTCTCTTTTCGATAGATGCTTTACAATCATAAGAGTTCTACCTTTATACTCGAGGGATTTCCTGTAACTTCTCCAAGTCGTTGATACTCACGATAATCTCGAATAGATGACGGTCGTTAGAGAGAGAATAAATATATTCAAAGACGACGTTCAAAAAATAATCTAAAAAAAAGAAAAAACGAGTGATGTAGATTCACAAAAAAAAAAAAAAAAAAAATTTTAAATGTCTAATAATTATGGAATCATTTTGAAGCATCGAGCATCCTTATCTTCATTAGAGATTCCATCCTTGGCGATGTAGGGAAGGGAGAAAAATTTATCGCTGCCATCGGAGGAAAATTTAATCGCCGTTCTTGAATCGAGATGAGCGTCGCTCGCGGCCTCAAGGATTTCTATTCCCTGTGGTTAGGCGAGTTTTCTGATCGACGAGCATATCGAGCGTTTTATTCCTCGATCGTCGGACAGTCGGGTTCGATGATCTTCCACCACGGCATGACCTTCGCGCATCGGAAGCTTAAGGTCGACATTCGCATCGTCGAGAAACAGGAAGGAGGCGGCTATCTCTCCCGCGAGAGTTCAACGCACGCTCGTACTGTAATCTCCTTCGTGGCCGGTTACTTCTTACGGCTTACGACGATTCGCCTGCCCGGCAGGTAACGAAACGAGGAGAAGCCGAGCCAGAGTGCGATACCTCGTTACGGCATCAAGGACTAGAGAGGCGGAGCTCGAGCTTTTTAAGCAAATCAACGCGACAGCGCGAAGGTTGTTGCTTCGACGATTCCTTTTGACTGACAACCGTTTAAAAGTTTCTCAAACGGATCAAGCGGAAGAACCGGGGACATTTCCCGGAGCCTATCGATATCGGCTTTTATAAGATTGACATTCCGGATAAGGAGATATCTCATAAAAATTTTACTCGATAAGGCGATTTTTCTCGACTAGCGTATATAACTCAATCTGAAATAATTACGTCATGTTTCAAGATAATTCCAGAACACGGACAAGGCATTATTATTCTTAATCCTAACAATATTTTGATTTAATTTGGCAATTTTGATAATTTTGATGATTTAAAAAAAAATTCAAATATTTAAAGATTATCCGGAACACGTGAAAAACTCCAAAAAAAAAAAAAAAAAAATTACACTCGAATTCGATCGAAAATTCATTCGAGTTCAATCGACTTGTTGTTTATTAGCGGAATTAATCATGTTGCGTTCGTACGGAAACTTCGAGCGACCATTTTCTCGGGTTAATTTCGTTTCTCCGACGTAATCCTACGCGTTGGTAACGTGCCAAGAGCTAGGTTTCGACGACAACATCGCCCGATGCCGAGCGTACGCTCGCACGTATCGTCCTTTTCCTACGACTAGTCGATGAACGTGACGATGAAACCAATAATATAACTGTGACTCATGTAAGAAGTTATCGATGCGACAGGAAAAGGAAGAGAGCGTCGAGTCTGCTATCTACTTTACAATGCCCGAGGCACGCTTCAGTAAAATCATTACGCGTGTATGTGAACGAGTAAATTGATTCTCCTTTAAGTATAATAGACAGTACGGCAACAGCACGTTTTCAAAGTCGCTAATTAAATTAATTTCAATAAACTATCTGGAATTCTTTCAGAAACCTCGGACGTGTATGTCTGTGTAATCTTGTCTCTCAAATTTATCTTTTAAAGCTGTTCGCTCATCACTACTATCTCAGATTGTGACGTCAGAAGCGAGAAAATACACAATAAAAATTCTTGCTAGATATATTGAAATGGAAGCATATCTTAATAAAACAACATTTACAATCGATAGACGCGAATTTGTAAAATATGCTGAAAATACTCCTTTTGTTTCGTAAATTAATAAATATCTGAAAATGAATTATACATAACCAAAATAAGCAATAAGTTTACAGCTATAACAACTGTCAAATTAATTATATATACATGATTTAATTCCTGTCTCTAAAATAAAAAGATAATTTTCGGTATATTTTACAAGTTTATTCTATTAATTGCAAGTGTTTTATTGGAAAATATTTCTATTTAAATATATATGGTAAAAATTTTTACTGTGTATTTTCTCTCGTTTGTGACGTCACAATCTGAGATAGCGGTGAGTAAAAGCTCTTTAATTGAAATTTCAGCAGAATCCAATAATGCATCCTCTTTGGAGATTATCGAATTCTCTACGGCGGAAGGAGCCCCAAACCCTGACAAAACGACGGTTCCAGGCGTTTCGGGGAATATTATTGAATTACATTTGTACAGATAATTTCGCGATTTTGTTGGACGACCAGGCGGAGCACGTTTTTCGCGAAGCCATCCGAGCCTCGAGCGGAAGTGGCGCGTACAGCTCCGAGAGGAGAGGTCGAAGGGTTCATCGTCTCTCTCTCCCGGGTGTTCCGCGTAGCGAGTCGGCGCGGATCGCCGCCAT